TTGGGGGGGGGGGGGGGCTGAGGACTGGCTGGGTGAGGTTGGAAGAGAGGGTGGACCCTTCACAGGCACCAGGAGGCTGTCAGTTCTCCCTACACCCCACAAACATCACTGTGTGGGGTCTGTGCCACTGGCCCTAGGTGCCAAGCGGTGTCAATTCTGAGGCCATGCAGACGGGGGGATGGCAGAGATGAGCCTGTGGGCTGACACTTGTGTCCCTCCCACCCCCGTATCACTCTGGTCTGACTACAGCTGAGGGAAGTGCCATGGGATGCTGGGTGGCACCGGCAGGCATGGCCAACCCCTTGTGGCTGGTGCGGCCAGCACGACCTGACCCATCCTGGATCCCAGGTGGGGGCTGGCCTGCACCCGGGACCGGAGGGAGGCCCGGAGCAGGACAAGACTGTTTTTCTGGCACAACACTGCCACCTGCCTGTCGGCATCAGTACTACAGCCCAGGCGCCAAGCTGAGCCCTGCGGGGCTCCAAAGACCTCTGCTCATCTCGCCGCACAGGTTCGCAGGGTAAACTGGGAGCACCAGGGAGGGTGGGCAGAGTCCCCTGAGGACGCAGATCTCTCCGCATGCCCAGGTCCACACCCTGGGGAGACGAGGTGCTGGGCTGGCCACCAGTTCACAGGTTGGGCGGGGGATGGGAATTTCTGCATCCAGCGGGTCTTGGTTCTCTCCTCCACTGCTCCCCGCCCCCCTGCCCCGCCCCAAGGCTGCGCGCACGTCCATGGCAAAGAATCGCAGCCTCTGTGGAGCTCCGGCTCTGCTCCTGAAGGAACACAGCTCGTGACATGTTCTACCAAGACTGCAGGACGCCACTTGGCAGCTGCCTCAAGACCCAAGCTGGGAGGGAGGGTTGTTCTCTCTTCTGCCGCGTATCCAAAGCAGTGACGGCAAAGGGTCTGTTTGTTCCCTAACACAGTGTGGGCAGGAATAATTTTTAAAGTATTTAACAGTTAAGAGCTGACGATGGCCTTCTTGGATACCGTCACCATGGCTGTGAATATCTGACACCCTCCTCGTGGGTGTGAAAATTCAATACTCTCACCATGGGTGGGACTGTTCAAGGTCTGCACGGTGACATCCTTATAGTGGGCGTAAATATTCGCCTGCAGAGGGGAGAGACTGGTGAGTCAGGGGATGTGCCCTTGTCCCCCGCAGGGTTACACTCCAACCGTTCCCCGCCCACCCCCCACTCCCCAC